AAATTCTTTATAGCAAAATAGTGGTGCAGTTAAATGATTGCTACGTTTCCAAAACCTAAAACTGTTCTTCCACTTTTTGCTGCTACAGCGTTATCACTTACTGTGTTAGGAAAAAATTCTGCGATTTAAGCTGCGACAATGTTATCGCAGTTATTTTAAAGCTTCACGTGCTCGAGGTGGCAACCAAAATAAAGATAAGCAAACGGAAAATGTTTCTTATATGTAAATTAATATTCAATGCAAGTTGAATTTTTATTCAAAAATTGTGTCTAAATATTGAAGAAAAGATATAATATTTTTTTTATTTAACTGTGATTGAACTTCGGACAACCGAGAATCTTTGTCTTACTAAACTTACATCAATTTAGAGATTAGTAGACATTAATTAATTATTGCAAATTATAATGTATAACGTACATATAAGTGTATTAACGCGAACGCAAATTCATAAGTACACTATTAAAAACATAATACACTGAGAAAAAAATTTATTAAATTTCAAAAAAACGTTTGTTTGGATAGTAATGTGAAGATATTTATTTAAATTAAGTAATTATTTTCTAAAATTAAAGAAATAAATTTATATTTAAAACTTCTTTATTTAATTTTAGAAAATAATCACTTAATTTAAACAAATATCTTCACAGTACTATCCAAACAAACGTTTTTTGAAATTTAGTAAATTTTTTTCTCAGTATACACAGATCCTGAAATAATCATTTTAAAGCTGCATAAGTAAACGCATGTGTTCGCTTGATCATCGCTGATACATGCTAGATTTAATATAAAATTGATGATCATATTACTCTTTGCTTTCGCTGTGACATAAATAATACAACCAGATTACAGCTATTTTGACTGCATTTAACTTCTTCCCATACGCACATATGATCACGACTTAAGGTGCGTGTGCATGATAACCTAAAAATGACTGAAGCTAGTTTTGACTTTTCTTTATAGTGGTGCTTTTACAATCATTAATACAGCTAAAATAGCTGTGATTAGATTTTGGCTTTTGTTATTGTTGTCACAACGACTTAACACCAATCATTGCAGCTAAAATGGCTGCGGCTAGTTTTGGTTTCTCTGATAGCTGTCACAACAATTTTACAGCTATTAATACAACTAAGATAGCTGTATTAATAAGATGGCTGCATTTTTACTTTTTTATTAGCTGTCACAGCAACTTTATAGCTGTTAGTGCAACTAAAATAGTTGTGGCTTTATTTTTTACTTTTACTGCGCTTTCGCAGCTAAAAATACAGCAAAATTGCTTTGCTGCCAAATAGTTGTAATTAAAGCTGGCAGGACGTTATACTAACCACATTTTTGCTGTCGCAGCTAATATAATCAAACTGTGTTATTTGGATAGGCGCTTTATGATTACTAAAGTCACTGGATAATAAAGTACTACAATTATGACATTATTGTGACTCCACGAATACGTGGTATATTCTAATAGCGTTTTCAACTGAACGGATTTTGATCAATCCGGGAGCGATTATGGTTGAATTTAAGTATTATAAGTTTTGCAGTGAGCTAGTAGAAATTCATGACGTCATTAATCCACCTCGAATCAATAAAAATCGTTTAGTTGAAAACGCTGTGAATTTATATATTTGTATTTATATATTTCGTGAATGAAGGAAGATAATTAAAACCGTAAATTATTAATTAACTTTTTATTTCTAACATTTTCTAATATTGTTTACAGATATTTTAATAGTAACGCTTCTGCTCTTGTTAATAATTGCTTTTATTAAGTCATTACTTTCTCTTTTTAAAGAAGAGTAAATTCTTTTTATTTCAAAAATTTTTACTAGTTTATAAATAATATTATGACAAGATGGAATAAAGTCTGTAAATAATTTTTTAAGAGGTTTCTATAAAATCAGTAGCTTTCAATCAGTTCGTAATTATATTAATCTTATATTTTCTAAATAACAATTTATATTTATATATAACATTGTATGCATCTATGCTTGGGAATATTAAAATATTTTTCTTGCATTCTTTTCATTTAAAGAAGGAACTTATATTATTTTTTCATAGACGAGATCAGGTTATAAAATTGTTTGCATCACATTTTATTACATTTTATTACATTAAATTGTTTATATATGTGTACATAAGTTACATTAAGTGTGTTTTATATGTACTATCCGACGCCATATTGGCTTCAAATGTTAAAGTATTGAATCTTACGTATTGTGATATTTTATTATATTTGGTGACTTTAGTGATTATATATTAGTCAGTAAGTAATTTTCATCAATATTTCTGTGCTTCTTATATATTTTTATGTTTATTTTTGTTTTATTTCTGTGCTTCTTATGTATTTTTATGTATTTTTTGTTTTATTTTTTACAATCCGATAATGAACTTACTCTCTTTCATTCGCTTTTTATGACAATCATTTGAAATTTAATATATTATATATAGGATTTCTATATCTCTTTCTCGGTTCACAACGTCGTCGTAATTTCGGAGTTATCCATTTAATACTAAATTGTTTTTACATTGAAGTATTACTATTAATATTAAGTATCTTCTATATAAAAAGTCCCTCCATTTAAGAGTACTATATTTATTAAGATTAACAACTTTTTTCCAATTAAACATATAATCGAAACTGAGCAATTCTCTCTCTCTCTCTCTCTCTCTCTCTCTGTTTCTGGATAATATAATACAAGCTAAGTATGGTAGAAATCACTAGCTTTTATATTTTAAATTAGTTAAGCCACGTCTCTATCTATAAAGAAAATAAATTTTCTTAAAACCTTATTACGCGCGCGCGCGTCAACTGAAAAATATTGGCTGACAGAAAAAAAATCTGTTTACAATCTTGAATGTAAAAAATACTATATGGATCACATAATTTGAATCATTATTGTAGAAAAAATTTTTTTGTAGACCAGTAGTATTTTCTACGATTGGATGATACGATTGGTATATTTTTAGATCCTTGATACATCCAGAAGAACGTACTGGTCAGGAGTAATAATTGCTATAAGCGCTTACTAAGAACTCATTTCTGCTGAACGCAATCATTTTCTATTGCGCGAGCCACAATCGATCGATCGATCGAGAGAACGAACGAACACGGAAACGCTTGTTGTTTTATGTATCAAATTTTTCATAACAAGGTAGCGTTTCCAACTAGATTGCATTCGGCGAGCTCTCGCACGATAAACGATTATTTAACACCGACGACGATTCCGGAGAGAGGGGGACGGGTTAAATTCAGAAAGTTCCGCGCCGAGGCTCACGCCATGAATATTCTATATCGATCATTACATTACTTCCGCAACGCGTAATTTATTTTGGCGCGGTTTCGAATAATTTCCACGACGTTTTGCATTAATAAAACGGTCGGTCGGTTCTCGTCGATTTATGGTTCATTTCTGCAAAGTGCTTCGCGACGGAACGAACGTCCCGCATCTCTCTCTCTTTCTCTGTCTCTCTCTCTCTCTCTCTCTCTCTCTCTCTCTCTCTCTCTCTCTCAATAAGAATAAAAAATGCCGCAAATATATTTCTACGTGTTCTAGTTGTAACGAACGTCTAATCGATATTCATTCGCCAAAGCGTTTGGCAAACATTTTACGTCACGTAACACATACACACACACACACACACACACAAAACAAACACGCCTACATACAAATACACGTTTATTTGGTTCCGTTTTTCGTACTTGTACGTACACGGCTACTTATAGTCGTAATTGTAAATATATATTTTGTCATTTGCCTACGAATTTGTCGTATAATTATATACTAGAGAAAATAAAATAGAAAAAGAAAACGTTCATTTTATTGTTTGATATTTTGCATTTCTTGCTCACGATTGTTTTGTGCTTCGAATTTGTTAAAATAAATAATTTAGTATTATCAGTTAAAAATTATTTTCAGCCAGATTTCACTAGTCGCTTTGAACTTAGAGAACTAAGAGGCTAGCTCTTTTGCTGTCCTTGTAATGAGTTATTGACTATTACAAATAAAATGCATTCCCCGCTCGATAAAAATTCATTAGCTGAGATTAAAAGCGCACATTAGCGTGAATAGCATAAACCATTCCTAAGTGTCTCATCACACGCATATACTAACGAAATGTACTTCACAATTGCAATAGTACGATTGATTCTATCATAGACTTATAGAAATAGACTGCATATTCCCATTAGAAAGCTGAACTCAGCATTAGTAAGAAAGAATAATGGAGAGTGAGATATTTTCCTTGTCTAATTGTCTAATTAGTCGGCAGAATGAAGGAAGAGAAGCGATTACATGGCTAATGCGTTCTTTCTTTCCTTCATATATTTCACTATCTCTCTTTTGTCTTTTCTACATCGGCTTCTCTTACACAGAGAAAATATTGTAGTAAAAATTATTGTAATTAAAATTATATTTTTTTACAATGTTCTTTGTAAAGCTGAACTATATTAAAAATGTAATATATATGTATATCAGAAATTAAAGCTAGTATCAAAAATACTGACAAAACCAAAATTTAATTAAAATAGAATTAATCAAATGTTTGATACTTACAACCAAAAAATTTAACTGCTGTTATTTTTGCTTTATTTTTTCAGTAATATATTTACTTAGTTATATATTTACTTACTAAGCAAAGCAAGATAGCGGCAATTAAATTTTTTGGTTGTAATTACCAAACACTCGGTTCATCCCATTTTAACTAAATTTTGGTTTCGTCAACCAATCCTTTTTTCAGTGTAGAATAACCATATTATATAACTATTAATACCGTTGCTTTTAGACATGTGCGAATGCAGTTAGCGTTTGTTCTCGAAGAAGACCGGCTTTCGGCATTGTACGATGCCGCAGTTGTATGCACGAGCGCATTCTCGAGTTAGAGATTAAAGTTTCACCTTGTCCGACGGCGCAAGAAATTTCGTGAGCGCAATGTTGATTAGATATTTCCGCTATTTCACTCTACTGGCCATTATCGTTCCTCGCGTCGGTGGATCGACAGAGTCAGTGATGACATTCCCGAATGACTCGATTGCGAGATTCGAGAGAGAAGTTGATACTAAATATCTGGTATTCCCTCAAGGCAGCAACGTTCAAGTAAGAGACTATTTTGCGTAAAACATTTATTTTCTATAAATTTTAACACAATTTTTTTAATTTATTGTTTGCATTATAACAAAAAAATTATTTAACGATGAAATTTTATTTCTACATTTATCCTCTAAAATTCATTTAATTCGAGAGATAGAGGAAGGATTTCGAAATACATTATATAAGCTAATGTTGCTTTGTTGTCACAAAGTAGTTACTTATTGCCATTTTCTCCATTTTGATAAAAGTATATAAATCTTTAATCCTTTGAGTCCTAGGTTTCTACTATAAAATTTAGTGTTATTTTAATAGAAAATTATAGATAAATTTAAATATTGTTTTAAAAGTTTTATTTGAAAAAAATAATTTTAGCATGTAAAAATAAAAACAATTTTATTATGAAAAATTGTGGATTCATAAATACCCAATTGTTTCTTTCCAAAATAAGTAAAAATTATAACTATAATTATAACTAGATGTAGCGCTAAACGCATTCTATTACTTTAATTAATTTAAATATTTTTATTTTTGGTAATATTAAATACCGTATCCCTAAGGATACGCCGGACTCAAAGAGTTCAAAAAGAATTTATTTAAGAATCATTTAATATCCGATTATCTCGATATTCTATCTGCATTTAATCTTTATTTTTCATTTCAATAAGTAATGTGTTACTCATGTAACTTAACTCTTTACAAATAGAATACGTACAATAAGAAAATATTAAATGACTTAAAAAAAAATAATGTAAACTTTCTCTTTCACAGTCTCCTTATTATTACTTTGTTTCATTTGCATTAAAAATTTGGATAAGATTCAGAGATTTAAAAGAGCTGGAAAAGGAGTTGTAATCTTCATTGCTAATTGTTGCTATATTCTATGTTTTTCATCCTAGTTTTATATTAGTTTACCGGTCATCATAACTAGACACCGGTAGACTCATGCGAAAATACTAGTCGATTGGAAATGAAGCGTTAAGCGATTATTAATCTCAATTCATTTATAATTATAATTATTATTTATAATTATAAATAATTATAAATAAGAATTTCATATTTGACGATTTGAAAGTTCGAAGTGTTTTGAGATCGTTGGTTTTCGTTGGTGATTTCTTAACTGAATATACTCGTCATTAAGGGGAGTGGAAAGTTAGATTGCCTGAAAATCGTGCTTGTTCTTTCACAATTTTTTATAACAAACTGAATGAATATTAAACTGAATGAAAGTGTTATTTTGACGTGTATTTATATAACATATAAAGAGAAGAAAAATATAATTTTGATGATCAAAAAATCAATATAAGTGTATAGTACATGCAGTTAAAATATATTTCGTTTTTCTTCTCAAGGTCGTTGTTTTGCAATAAAATTTTGATTCTCGGTGGCTCAATTAAGCTGAATTTTAGGTAGAAAATTTCCATAAGCTTGTCGTTATCGTGTGAACCACTGACAAACACGTGAAAATATTTAATTTTGAAATATTAATTTTTTTACTATAAAAGAACTGAAAATTTAGTAATATTTCATTAAGATATTTGCAATTTTGTTAATTTTTACTCAATTTCTATTATAGTGGTTCACACGATAATGACAAGCTTACACGACAAGCTCACACGATAACGAGAGTGAAAATATTACTGCAAAATGACGACCTTGAAAAGAGAAACAAAATATATTTTTACTGCATGTACTATACACTTATATTGAGTATTTGATCATCAAAATTATATTTTTCTTCTCTTCATGTGTTGTATAAATACACATTAAAATAACACTTTCGCATATTCATTCAGTTTGTTATAAAAAATTGTGAAAAAACCAGCACGATTTTCAGGCAATCTGACCTTCCAGTTTCCTTAATGGCAAGCGACAATGTTTAGAGTGGAGAGGGGCAACTTTTAAGATTTATTATTGAAAACTCTTATGTGAGTCGTACTTTCTCGAGCCGTTATATCTCGAGTCGACGAGAGTCGAAAATATATTGGTGGAGCATGTATATTGGTGCGATGTTTACAGTTCCAGTTGTTCGCAATATTTTGTGCACAGACTATTGAAATATTTAACCCTCCGTGTACAATCATATTTTTTGGGATATACAGTATCTGGGTCTGTCAGACTCGGCCAGCTACCATAACTTTGTTGAAATTTAATATTTTTGGACACATTTCTTTTCAGAGCTAAAGAAACTCTTCAAACATAGTAGCGCAATAAAATCAAAATCTACAAAGATTTTGATTGAGCCACCGAGAATCAAAATTTTATTGCAAAACAACGACCTTGAGAAGAAAAACGAAATATATTTTAACTGCATGTACTATACACTTATATTGATTATTTGATCATCAAAATTATATTTTTCTTCTCTTTATATGTTATATAAATACATGTCAAAATAACACTTTCATTCAGTTTAATATTCATTCAGTTTGTTATAAAAAATTGTGAAAGATTTGAGCTATTTTGAAAATCTCCCGTATCCTATAAGTTGGTGAGCGATCGAATATTCATGCGGATCTCACAGACCTAATATTGTGTACGCAGAGGGTTAATATCCCAAGGGTTAATATAGCCAATATCGATATTGTATATCGATATCGAGTTAAAACACGTTCCTCCGATCGAATCATATATTTACATCATTATATAGTATATTTATTATATTAGATTAGATTAGATTTAAGAAATCATTATTGCTTCGTAAATCTTTGATCAATCCATTCGTACTTTATACAACAAGAAGTATCAATCCAAATAATCCATAAATACGAATTTGAAATTATGATTCCAATTAAAAATCCTAAGTAATTCACTATTATAAATACATTGGATTTAGAAGGTAATGTCAATCTCTCAAATGCGAATTTTCACGTATAATAATATTTGTGGGATCACGGTTGCCAATGTTTCCTTTTCATTCCTGTTTAGCTTTATCGTTATCAAACGGAATCAAAATTTAGATTTCTGTTAGTAAACACGCAGCATTATTGTACACACAACTTTTATGTTTGCAACCTAATTAAGAATATAAGGCCAATTAGAACTGTGTGCAGGATGTTCGTGCAAATAAGTTAAACTGAGAATACTGTTTGGCAGTGTCAAACAATATATAATCTAGTTTTATCTTTGCCTTTCTTTCTTATCAGCTCTTTTAAAAACTTCAAATTTCACCAAGATTTCCAACGTCGAAAGGAAGGAAAGAGAAACGAAAATAAATTATGGGACGAGAAAATATTAATATCAAAATTCGTTGTTTTCTTGACCTACTTATACATTAATCCTCCTATTAGATTATATAATATCTGTTAATTTTGCAAATTCTATTCGTAGCTCTATGGAAGTTACATAATTAATACTTTGCTGAATGAAATTAAGAATTAAATTTAAAATGCAGGTAGTATAATGAGATGATACTGAATAATTCTGAAAGAAGTCTTTTTTAAGACCCAAGAAGAAAACGACAGTTATTTGCAGAATCAAGGTATAGCGACAATTATACATCTCAAGATTCTTTATTGGTCCTTCAAATTCGACAGAATTTGCAGACTTAATAATGTCGAGCTAAAATTTCGACTCGGGTGGTTCTTTTTGTATTTTGTTAACTCTCTGGACTGAACGTTAAAAAGTTACCTAAATTTTAAACAAGGGTAAATTTTGTCGAACACATCTTTCTTTGCTCATAGCCCTCGGAAAATTTATTGAAAATGTGCGATCAAGATGTTTCCTCAATTCAGTTAGGAAAGTAAGGGATTGAAATAGATAACAAATGAAATATCTCTTTGAGCTGAAAACAAATATACAAGTTTTATTTTGCACTAATTTTCTATCTAAAAATTGTAAGGTTTCAAAAATTTCAAATTCAAAACAGTTTTTAATTAAAAAAAATATGAAAATGTTGGGGAGTTTTGCAATGTATAAAGAATTATTTGAAAGCTTATGACTTCTACTTTCTAGTCGATAAAAAATTGCATTAAAATGTCAACAGAGAATCCAAGTATTCCAATTGAATTGTTTGTATTTTCTATTGGTTTTTAGTAGTGAAAATATTGCCAGTCAATTCTACGTGTACAAAAACCATAAGTGACGTTTAAATCTATTAGTTTAAGTGTACAGAAATAATTTATATGCATTTTTAGAAATATCAACTGTATGTTACAATATATTGCATCAAAATTAGACTATGATCTTAGGTTTTTTATTGACACTTTGATGCAATTTTTTATTCACTGGAAAGTAGAAGTCGTAAGCTTTTAAATGAATCCTTACATGCCGCAAAACTCCAACATATTATATTTTTTATATTTTCATATTTTTCATATTTTTCATATTTTTTTAAATTAAAAACTGTTTTGAATTTTGAACTTTTGGAACCCTATAACTTTAGAACAGAAAATTTATGCAAAATAAAACATATATATTTGTCTTCAGCTCAACGAGACCTTTCACTTGGTATTTATCTCAACCCCTTATTTCTTTAAATGGATTAAAGGAACATGCTCAATACTCATTTAGTCGTACTCTTTAATATTTCCTTTCTTCTTTAAGCAATGTAGAAATCGTCGAGGAATATGATTTTACTTATAATAATTTGTGATTAAAAAAAGTTTAAAAAATTATAATAAAAGAACAAAACACATGTTATTTCAAAATTCAGTTTTTTTAGTTTGGTTTGAGTAAATTCTACCTATGTTTAGGATTCTATGGTTCATGTGTACGTGTATTTAGAAAGGATAGGAGAGAGCGAGCGCGCTTGTTATACTCGCTTTAGGTGGGTCGTAGTCCTTTGTTGAAATAGAGCGAAATTATAATTTCTACACTTGCGCTCGCATGTTTTTGCGCTGTGTGCCTGGTTACGAATTGTGTGTGTCTTGTCGGGAGAAGTTGCGTATCGCGGTTGTACATAGGATGCAATATAAATTCACGATATAGCTGAACACGGAAACTTTTCTACACCAAATAAGGCGGAACTTTCTTTTATGCACGTACGACGAGTAACTTGAAGTAATGCTTTCAACTCCATTGAAATGTTAATTCACCACGTATAACTGTCAAATACTTTAATTTTATGTAAATTAAGGGCTTTGCTCTCCGTGACGAGATAACGAGATACGAAATCGACGAAAGCAGGTGGCGGCGGTATTATCAAGAATTATATCTGACCCTCTCGGTCTCGAAGGGCCCTTCCGAGGGCGGCGCTTTCCTTTCCCGAGGTACAGATATAATTTTTCACTTGACGCAACGGCGATTAATACTTCGTAACTTTTTTATCTGTCCATTGCGGTTACGTAGCTCGTCTACTGCTTGACCATCGGTACACTCACGAAGCCAGCAGGAATGTACACCATCAGCATTACTGCCGGACTGGCGTGGGAACTACCCTATAGAAATAGCGTGCCATACAGGAAGTCGGCCGAGGTTTATCATCGTCGAAGCAGAAGGGAGCTATATCGTAAAATAGAGCTAATGCTGAGAACGTGAGTAAAAGAGATGGACGATGCGAAAGATGGACGTATAAGATCGCAGCGCCGGTTTTCTCTCGAACGTGAATATCGATTGGCCGATATCTTCAAAACTGTGAGGTACTACACAAGAAATCACGGGTATATTGCCGGCTCCGTGTAACCGCGACGTGTGGACATCTTTTAGCGCGACGTAATTCGTATCTTAATAAAAATGCAGATCTCAGAAAATAATTTTATTGCAAATTTTAAACCGAAAATAAGAGACACGTATTTTTATGGGCTTTCTACAATAAGCCGTTAGCCGTGACACATAACGCATAACACATAAGGCATAAGAGAATACACCAATCAGAATTCTTTTCTGAAATTTCTATTCTGAAAGATTGCAATTGGTGAATTTTCTTATGTCTTATGTGTTATGCGTTATGTGTTACGACTAATGACTTATTATAGAATGTGCTTTACGGATATGTTTCGTACGAAACATATATATATGATATTAACTCCTCCAAGTTAATATCACATAAAATCTGATCACGATCAAATATTTTGAAACCGTAAGAAATACGAGAAAATGTACGACAACATGTTTATATTCCATGTATTTTATAATTATGGATTTTTTGAAAGTTTTATAGAATTTTTTAATATATTCTCATTGCTCGTTATTGCTTGGGTGAATTTCAAAATTATAAGGAAATTTAAGAGGGAAATAAAAAAGGAAGAGAGAGAGAGAGAGAGAGAGAGAGAGAGAGAGAGAGAGAGAGCTTTATTCCAAATCATGTAGAATGAATTTAGTTTCTGAAGTCGCAGCTTTTTGTGATATGAAATACAAATACTGCCTGTAAATAGATATGCACATATAGAGTCAGAACTGTTTTCTGCTCGCGTCGTCTCTGTACTTACAGAGCAGCGTTTTTAACTCATATTCCAAAAATACGATCTTAAAAATAATTTTGTGGTAGAGAAGACATAAATAAGAAATACGTATTTTTTTCTAGAAGAACTTCGGGTATTAATTTTGAAACAGTCAGATATTAAAGAACATCATGATTTATAACCTGTTAAAGGGGTGCCGGAGCGAACGACAAACTTGATAATCGTCGATAACGTAGAGCAATCATCAAAAAGTAGTTATCATCATCTACCGACGATATCGAATTTATATACACATAGATACTTATAGAATAAAAATGATCGTCAAATAAGTATTAACATGATATCGCTATCATCTTTTCTCAGAAAATCTTTTTGTTATGCAAGTGTGTTATGTTGTCATTTCAATTTTCTTACACATAGACGTTACGTAAATATGAATGCCACGTTGCCAATATTTGCATTCTCTCCAAAATAGGCTCTTGCTATTTTTCTGATAAATTCTTCAAACCGCTTGTGTACTGGGTGTATCAAAGAAAGAGTTTTTAGAGTAGAGTGTTGTAAGCGCAAGCTTAGTTTGCGAATAATTGTTTAGAAAATACGTTACCTGTTATTTGAGCCTTTCAATATAATTAGCAACGATAATTTGAGATATCAGTTTTCATTTCGCACTGATCAATGTTACACTTTATTTTCGCACGTAATTTTATCATATAAATTGGAGCAGCCAGTACGCTGTAATTTTTGAAAAATAAAATCAGTGTCACGATAACAATAGTTCCACGTCGTTTTCATCCTTGAGGCAGAAATGCCCTATTTTATTTATGCATGTATTTTTACTATACAAAAGCATTTTTAATTTGGTCAAGTCAACACAAAGTAAGTTGTTGGGAAATGTTGTTAACGTGATACCGAATACCTTTGCAAAACTATTGTCTCGTGCTGATTCGACAAAATTAAAAACTTTTTTGCATGGTGAAAGTACGTGCAAAAATGAAGCAGAGCATCCATCAATATGAGACGAAAACGATAAAGAAACGTTACTATCACGACATCGAATCTTTCTGCAAAGTTTGCTTTTTTGTACCTGCGTCGAATTAAAAACTCTTTTGCACGGTAAAAGTACGTGCGAAAATTAAGCGGAACATCCCACAATATGAGATGAAAACGATAAAGAAAAGTTACTATCACGACATTGAATCTTCCTGCAAAGTTAACTTATTTCTACATTGAATAAAAACTCTTTTGCATGGTGAAAATACGTGCGAAAATGAAGTGGAGCATCCCACAATATGAGACAAAAACGATTAGGAACAGTTACTATCACGTCATCGAATCTTTCTGCAATATTTATTTCTTTCTACCTGCGTCAAATTAAAAACTCTTTTGCATAGTGGAAATACGAAAATGAAGCAGAGTATCTCTCAATATGAGACGAGAACGATAAGAAACAGTTACTATCACGACATTGAATCTTTCTACAAAGATAACATCTTTCTACTTCGAATGAAAAACCTTTTGCATGGTAAAAGTACGTGCGAAAATGAAGCGGGGTATCCCACGTAATCCGGGAGACAATGCAGAGCGAAATAGTCAAACTTCACGTCATTTTCGAAAATATATCTTTGCAAAAGAGCGAAAATTACTTAAAAAAACTGTAAGATATTATCCACAGATGTCTATACTAAATTAAATTGCTAACAGACTATCTAAAAGCATATAACGGCTTGCGTCCGATAGAATTTTCGGTGCATGCGAGAAAATGGCCGCTACCGCCATATATTTTCACTACGTTTAGTCATAAAATTCTTTTCTTGAAAACGAGCAGAGCAAATAACGTCCAATATCATCTATTTTTTTGTTACGATATTTTTTGATGCAATAAGATACTGGCATTTTTGGTTTTACGACAGTAATTTAATGGCCACTCTGACTCACATTGTACGTTGCAAGTACTCACACAAGTGACACGTCACACACACGTCACACATACACAGGACCGCCGCCATTTTCTTGCATGCAACCAGAAACCTTACGCGACGCATGTTCGAAGCCCTTATTAGCAATCTAGTTTAGTATTGACATCTGTGATATTTTCCCAGAATGTGTTCTAGACGCTAATATTATATGACGCAAATAACCTGCAGTAACACGACCAATTTTCGGCCCATTCCTGAGAATCCGACTCTTCTACGATGCTAAATTGGATACAACGTTATGAACGCGACTTCGGGCTATTGTAAAATTATTTTCAAAATTCTAGGCGTGTTACTGAGGGAGTAGAGCAGGGCTGACAAACTCGTATACTAATGACGAGGACATTGAAACGAACGCCACCTGGTAGTGACGGGGGCGAATTAAATCAATATAGCGCTGAATAGTGAAGAATAAAGTTAACTTTCACGTTAACCTTCAAAGTCTATGGTGCTTGTGAAATTATCATCGTCGCTTTGTCATACGAAGAAAAAAGATACTCCGTACTTTATTAAATATAAAAGTGCATATAAGTAAAAATATAATTGTAATTTACTATTGCACACTTCTTGTGAGACATGCTGCAAATGCAATATTATTTTATGCGTAATGTATAACTAATAAATATATAGTGACGAGGACGTAGCACTATATTTTTATATTTAATAAAGTACGGAATATCTTTTCTTCTTCGTATGACACAAAGCGACGATGATAATTTCACAAGCACCATAGACTTTGAAGGTTAATATGAAAGTTAACTTCATTCTTCATTATTCAGCGCTATATTGATTTAATTCACTCCCGCCACTACCAGGTAGTGTTCGTTTCAATGTCCTCGTCATTAGTATGCGAGTTTGTCGGTCCTGAAATAGAGTGACATTAACATACATTGTGATCTGGGAGACGATGCAGAGCAATATAGTCCAATTTCACGTAATTTTCGAAAATACATCTTTGCGAAAGCAAAAATTACATAAAATAATTGTAAAATATTATCCCAGAATTTGCTCTACATGCTAACACTATATGATCTAACCTGAAATAACATGACCGATTTTTGGACTATGCGCAGGATAGATACCACTATGCATGAGCGAGAACCCGAATATACTGCTACGATGGATCTAACGTTATGGGCGCGACTTCGTGGTATTGGGAAATTATTTTCAAGATTATGGGTGCACTGTCGAGTGATACAAACACATTGTCACACAGGAGACGATGCAGAACAAAATAAGTACACCTGACGTCAATTTCGAAAATACATCATTTCAAACGCGAATGTTACTTTAAAAAGCTCTAAAAAAACTATCCCTGAATGTGCTCTACATACTAACAGTACATAAAACCTAACCTGCAGTAACATGACCGACTTTCGGATCATGCGCAGGATAGGATAACACTGCGCATGCGCGAGATTCCGAATATACTGCTAATCTAACGTTATGGGCACGATTTGGGATATTGGGAAATTATTTTCAAGATTCTGGGCATGCTACTGAGGGAGTAGAGTAACATTAAAGCATATTGTCATCCAAGGGACGTTGCAGAGCGAAATACGTACACTTCACGTCATTTTCGAAAATACATCTTTGCGAACGCGACAATTTCTTTAATAAGTTTTAGAAAAATTATCCCAGGCATAACTAACTCGGCTTAATAATTTTGCGGGAACACAAAACTCATCGGTTTGAATATTGGCTTAATAAATTAGTGGATCTTCAAAACACGTCGGTTCGAATCTCGGCTTAATAATTATGATTTAGAGGAATCTCAAAACACTCGGATTCGAATTTCGTCTTAATAATTTAGCGGGAAATCGAAACATTTCGGTTTGAGTTTCGGCTTAATAATTTAATTTGTTGTCTTTAATTTGTCGAAATTTAATTTGTTGTCTTGTCAACAACAAACGCGTATGCATAAGAAGATATTTCTGAAGAGATAATATATCGTATACAATACGACATAACAAGTTATAAAGTATATTAATCAAATAGTATATACAGAGTGTCCCATCACTACCGCATTATCTATTAAGAACGCATTCCTGAGGTAATTTGAATAAAAAAATTCTCATACAAAAATGGCGAGGCTATAATACATTTCAAATTATAAACGATTAAAGTTGACCAATTATACTGGCTAAAGTACAGTAAGTG